CCCCGCAGCCGCCCATCTTGGAGGCGAGCAAAAAAGCAACGCGGGGCCTACCCTCGCTCCGCACTAAGCAGGAACCTCCGACCTCAAGACTGAGACAGGGACGCGAAGTGGCAGCCACTCTAATAGCGAGGATGCCTTAAGAAAGACCGCGTGTTTGTGAGGAGCGGAATTATATGAATCAACCCAACCCCAATATGGCGGCGAGCGGTGACGTACACAATCTCGCGATACTAAAAGCTTGCGATTTGAAGGACCCGCGCTTCCGCCTAAGGGGCGGGATCCCCACAGATCCAGGTCTGTAGAGGCGGACAGGAGGTGAGGGGGCGGGGCGTGAGGGCCGCAGTGCGTGCTGGGGCTGCTTCCCTGGGGCGGGACCTAACACTAGGCCAAAGCGCGGGAACCATGAAAATACGGGTCGCGGGAGGCTGCTCGGGAACCGGGCGATGAGACGTGGTGACGTCCGAGATACTACGCCTGCGGTAACCTTGCCTTCTAGTCTCTTACTGAATACGAACTTGCCCGAGGGTTTGTCCGGAGCGCCCTGGCCGGCGCAGCGCCACCCCTGTCGCGATGCTCCAGGGTGATAAGCGGACCCCCCTCGAGGGTGTGAGGAGGGAATGAGAAATATCCGTGTAGACTGTGTCCCCCGAGAACCTGGCCTCCTGGCCTCCTGGTCTCTTTCCTCTGGATTTAAGATCAGGCCGGGCTTGCCGGAGGGGAAAGGGGTAAAGTAAAATTTATTAAATAAACATAAAGATCAGGGTCGGGGCTGGGGATTTAGCTCAGTGCCACCAAACCTGCCTCACAGTGCAAGGTCCTGAGTTCGATCCCCGGTACCAAAAAAAATATATGTATATATATCGGGGGCGTTTTGTCAGGCCTCCCATTGAACGGGGGAACATGCTTCTCTGCAGTTAAAGCCAGACTTACTGATGGAGAACCCCCCACCCCATTCCCTCAACGTGCCTGGGCTTACCTAGCCTGGCACTTCCTTTGAAGCGTCTGAGAAATTTTCTTTGTTCTCAGTTTTGTTATCTCCCCGCCAAATGTAAATGAGGTGTAACTCTCCGCAGAGCTTGCTATCTTTAATGCCCTTGAATTTGCTGAGCCCCTGTGACTTGTACTCTGTAACTCCTGCAAGCCAGAGAGTATTATCTGCCCCGCTTAACCCCAAATAAGGGTCAGTCAGTCTGTTGGTGTGTGAACCCAGGGTGACCCACCGATGGTAAGTGTAAGACCACCAGGGATCTTAACCAAACGTTTTGAAGAGCTACCGATCAGCAACAGCAAGACAACACCCCAAAGGAACCGACGGAACCACACCCAAGAATGGTCTTAACAGACCTTTATTAGTCTGGCCAGACGGCCCCTCCAAGCAACGACTTGGAGAGCGCCCCTCCCCGAGCCAGACCACAAGAGTGTTTTATACATTTTTAGATGGGGCAGAAGCAAGCAAAATTACAGAAGCGAAATGCGGCAGTTAGAAGAAAGGAACAGAACATATAGTTTGCACAGGATGAGGCTGACATTTTTGTGACAAAGTGTAGGGCTATGGTTAATCTTTACGGGAATCATCTATTTCTTTATCTGGAATGTTCACACTTGGTGTTCGTTCCTGACCATTTTCCTGAATATGTGCTGTCCTTTTGATGACTCTGGGCCTTTCCTGCTTTCTCAAGAGGGCGAGCTTAACCTTTAACGAAGATGGCATCTATGCTGACACTTTACAGTCTGACAGTAAGAATAAAGCTGGTTCTACACTTTGCCTCTGAGACTCTGGGTGTGCTTTTAATCCTCCCAGAAGAATTGTAGCATGTAATAAAACCACTCCACTACCAGTTGGCATTTAATAAGTGGTGGTCTTTCTGGTATTGGTTAGTGACTCTTAGGAAGTAGCTTTCTCCTAACATGTCCAGAAGTCTTCCTGGATACAGCTGTGATGAGTCATTCCAATGCAAATTTCCCTTTGGTGGTTCAAATATAAAGCATCTGTACCTAACCCCATTTTTCTCTTAATGTTTTAATAGGAATCCAAACTCTACAAGGCTCAACGTTGTTTACAGACTGGGGAAGCAGAAAATAGCTAAAGATGAAAGCATTTTGGACCATTTACAAGCAGCTCAGTTCCAAGGGGTTTTCTGTAGAACCAGCCCACATTGTTGGTTTCTCCACTTCCTCCTATTCATGTGGCCCGAAGAAGAAAAACCCGTATGAAGAAGTGGACCAGGCCAGATACTCTCAGTTAGTAAGGTCGGTCTTGTCATTCCGAGGTCCTGGTCAGACTCCAGAATCGCTGCTGGAGGAAGATGCTTTACTCTTCGGACCTGTGAGTAAAGCCAAACCCCCAAAGCAAGACAAAGCCAGAGTTCCCCAGAACTGGTTTCCTATCTTCAATCCAGACAGGAGCCTAAAACCAAACACAAGTGCGCCTTCAGTTCCTTTGAAAATCCCTCTGCAAAGGAGTATCATACCAAGTGTGACCCGGGTCCTGCAGCAAACCATGACAGCAGAACAGATTTTCTATTTAGAGAGGTGGAGACAGCGAATGATTCTGGAGCTGGGAGAAGATGGCTTTGCAGAATATACTTCAAGTAATTCTCTTTAATTCTGGTTCTGTGTGGTTACTGTGCTTTCTAGAATATAGAGCATTGGTATCAAAAGGAGGCTTTTAGGAAAAACCTTACTAGAAAGGAATGACAGTACTTTCTTTTTTTTTATTTATTTCTTGTTTGTTTGTTTTTTTGAGACAGGGTCTCACTATGTAATTGAAACCAACCTGGAACTCACTATGTAGCCAGGCTGGTCTCGAACTCACAGCGATCCTCCTGCCTCAGCTTCCTGAGTGCTGGGATTACAAGTGTGCGCCACCACACCAGGCGACAATACTTTTGAATAGTTAGAATTAACTAGTTCTTCATGTGTATGAACTCAATCCTTATGACAAGTCCATGAAGCATAGCTATATTACCCTTATTTTACAGATGAAACAGAAGCAGAGATCAAGTAATTTGACTAAATTTGTAAAGTGCATTTGTTTTGTAAACTACAAGCAATATCAGAGTTGCTTGTTCTTTGTTGATTATGGAAGTCAGTCGCTTATGGGAAAGATTCTAGTTGTTTGATAGGCATTCTGTCCACAGAGTCTAGTAAATGCCCACTTGTTAATTCTACTTCTCATTGTAAATGAAGGTGAATTTAAAGCCCTGGCACCAAGCTGGAACACGTACAATCTTATGTTACATCTTGGTCATTTGAGCTAGTCAGATGCTCTTGGTTAAGAACTGAGAGGAGCCAGTGGTAGCGCACACCTGTAATCCCAGCACTCAGGAGGCTGAGGCAGGAGGATCGCTGTGAGTTCGAGACCAGCCTGGGCTAGATAGTGAGTTCCAGGTCAGTCTCAACTACATAGTGAGACCCTGTCTCAAAGAAAACAACAACAACAAGAAAAAAGAAATAAACCTTAGCCCTTAAGTCCTACCTCAGACAAGCAAGGAGAGTAGCTTCCTTAAAGTACCTTGCAGCCAAAACCAGACCATTGACACAGGTCAGTTAGCTGGTCCATGAGAATTACATGGGTGTCTTTGGTTAAAGCCATGTCTTATAGACATTCCTTAACCCATGCTTCCTCAAGAGCAGTGCCTACTGCCACAGGACCACTTTTATATTGTCTTCAGGCATCTTAGAGAAAATATGGAGGAGGGCCAGGGATTTAGCTCAGTGGTTGCACCACCTGCCTCACAAGCACGAGGACTGGAGTTCAATCCCCAGTACGAAAAAAGGAAAAAAATATGGAGGAGCAAGGTGGAGCACTTCTAGAATCCCAGCATTCTGGGAGGTTAAGGCAGGAGAATCAAGTTTGTTCCTAACTAAGACCTGGGAATGTAGTTATGTACACTGACCCTGGATTCAATCCCCAGTACTGAGAAAGGAAAGAAAAACTGTGAGTGTGTTAACTGATTAATTTGCTAAAACGCTAACTACTCAGTCCTTTTTCTTTTTGATACCCGATCGAACTCAAGACCTCGAGCTTGCCAGTCAGGTGCAGTGCCACTGAGCTACATCCTCATGTTTTTGTTTTGTTTTGTTTTGAGATGAAGTTTCACTATGACCCAGGCTGGCTGGGAACTCAGCAGTCCTACTGCCTCTCCAGGCGTTTGCCACCATGCCAGGCTGTGCAGTCATTTATGTTTCAAAGAAAAGTGTTAACTACATAGGCGGTTCCTGGGTATGACAAGAATGGTCAAGGCCTGAGCCCCTTAAGACAACGTGTCTCAGTGGCATGGGGCAAGAGCAGTGTGCAAGGGCTGCTGCTTACGATAGTTCATCGATGAAAACCACCAAGATGTGCTCTGCTCTCTGAGCACGCAGCATGAGAATTTTATCGGTGAAGTCACCAGTCTATGTTTGTACCACTAGAATTTAGAATTGATCATCTCCTAATGAAGGGGTCATTTTTCCCTAAGCCAGGAATGTAACAGCTTTCCAGAATCCTGAAATGACTGATAAGGAGCTAAAGGTAGAAACGCGTTGGTCGTCGGAAGCCTAGGGTCCATAGCTCTGGGCAGAGCAAGGAAGGGTGCTGATGGCCAGGCCCTTAACACCAAGAGGGGATGCCTGGTAGGGTGGTGCACACCTGTCTTCCCAGCACTCGGGAGGCTGAGGCAAGAGGGTCACTGAGTTCAAAGCCAGCCTGAGCTACATAACACCCAAAGCCAAAGCTACAGAAGTGGGGTTTCTCTTTGGAATGTGAGCGAGCTCTGGTGGAGATGCAGGTGGCGCTCTGCTATGTTTCACAGTGAACTCACTGTAAGCCTTAAGCAGGAGCACGTTCACTTTCACAGTGGGGGCAACCACGGGCAGATGGTGTCGGGGTAAGGGTGAAAGAGGAAGAAGAAAGTGAATTAACTGATTAACTGGTCTGGAGAGGATGTCTGAAAAATACCAGGGGTGAAGTTCTTTTTGCCCAGTCTTGCGGGAGTCCTTAGTGTAGAGATGTGCCAGAGCTGGTGGTCTTCCCAGGATTTGTGCGGTGTTCCAAAAATCAATTCTCCTAGAGCTGGGGATTTAACTCAGTGGTACTGCACCTACCTTGTAAGCACAAAGTCCTGAGTTTGATCCCCAGTAACCCCCACCCCAATCATTTCTCCTTTTGAAGGCCAGTGAGAAAGAGAAATCTGATTTTTAAATACTGATCATAGTAGAAAGGGCTGGAGTTTGTTTTTAAATTTTGTTTGTTTCACTGATTTTTTTTTTTTTAACCTTAAAGTATCAGCCATCATGCCAGGCATGGTGGTACACACCTGTAATCGCAGCACTCAAGGCCAGCCTGAGCTACATAATGAAACCCTGTCTCAAAAACAAAAACAAAAACAAAACACCAGTCATCCTGACAACTCTAAGCATCAGAATATTGAAGATACATTTTTTTTGGTTGTTTTTTGTTGTTGTTGTTGTTGTTGTTTTAATGTACTTGTATGGAGAAGTGAAAGCATTTCACGTCTTTAATTGTTTTGGCTCAGTACTCTTGACTTGCTGCTACTTATAATAAATCTACTTGGGTCATTTTTTTGTTTTTATAAATTGAATCGTATGCAGTGTCCTGACCCTGAAATCTAGATTTCCATTTTATGGCCACTGTTTGAAGAACACAGGTTAGATATGCTTCAGGGAATGAATCATCCTTTGCAAGGCTATGAGAGAAGCAGTTTTTCTTGTTTTGTTTGTGGTTTTTTTTGGATGGGGGTAATAGGGCATCCAGCACAGTTTGCCAAGTGCTCTGCTACTGAAAATCCCCATTGCGCTTCCTGTTATAAACAAGTTTACCTTCTGACTTGTCTGTAGGTGATTACTATATCTCTTTTCTTAGATTTTAATTCCACAAGTCTTAAGTTTCTTGTAGGTCTTTCGTGTACTAATAATTTCACTTGAGCCAAGTATGTGTGGAGTACAGTAATTTAGCTCCTAGTTGAATTCCATTTTGCCCTCCAAGTAATTTCCCTGGAGCAGTTCTATTTTTGCCAGTGGTAGAACTGACCTCTCAGAGTCTCTTGGAAGACTGGCATATGGCTTCCTGTCCCCTCACTGGGTGAAGTTGCTCTCCTTCTCCCTTGGGGAGCTACATTTTGCTGTAGGTCCGCTGGTCTGGAAGGACGAGGGTACCAGTCAGGCTTTTGCTTCGGGCAGAGTAACAGCAGCGCCTGGGCCAGTAGGGCTTCATTGCTTGATGATTGTCCTCATCTTGTAGATCCTTGTTTGAAAATGAACACTCTGACAGCATTAAGGCCCCTCCTTAGCCTAACTTTGTCCCTTTTTCTGTGGCTCCTTCCCTTACCAATACTCAAGTGACTGTATAGTATTTCTTGTACTTATTTAACCTGTTTGTGTCCCTTTTCTTAACTGGAAAACATGAGGAAAATCAACCGGACATAGCAGCTGCGTCTTCTCTCCAAATCTTACCACACCCAGTCATTTTTATTTGTGTGACTTGATTTTCATGTCTTGTGGACACTAGTCCTATTAATAAAAGGATTCCCTTGCTTAATTATGTTCATATGTAAAAAGAACTAGAGAGAGGGCTGGGGATTTATACCGGTGGCACCAGTTCGATCCCCAGTACCAAAAAAAGAAAAAGGAATTTCCTAATAAAGAACTAGAGACAGGGTTCCCTAAATTTCTAATGATTTTTTCTTAGTACAGCCATTTAACCCATTAAATTAGATACTTGATACACAGTGCCATAAACTAGATACACTTCTGTAATTCCCAGATCTGCAGTTCTAGGTTTGGCCTAATTGTAAGAGAAATACTTCACTCTAATGCACTTCATTTCTAAACTATTCTAATTCCTTTTGTTCTTGAAAGTGCATTCTTAGTTTTCATAAGAAGCTGAAGCCAGGCATGGTGGCGCACGCCTGTAATCCCAGCACTCAGGAGGCTGAGGCAGGAGGATCGCTGTGAGTTCGAGACCAGCCTGGGCTACATAGTGAGTTCCAGGTCAGTCTCAACTACATAGTGAGACCCTGTCTCAAAAAAAAAAAAAAAAAAACCAAAGGAAAAAAAAATTAAAAGCTGAAATTTGATGTCTTAGGACTTGCCACTTAAAGTAACTTTTTAGGATTTTTCTTTTTTTAACTTGATATCAGATTTTTAGAGCATTTGGTTGTTAGTACTAGCTTTGGTTTTGTTTTCTTTCTCTTTGATTTTCTTTGCAGACATCTTTTTACAAGGGAAGCGCTTCCACGAAGCCTTGGAAAATATACTCTCAGCCAAGGGGAACATAAAAGAGGATGAAAGTACCCTCACCTGTGGCTACATCAGAAGCGTGCAGCATCTTCTGAAAGACCTGCATGGAGTGCATGCTCTCGAGAGTGCTGTCCATCACGGGGCCCTGCAGTACGTGGGGCTGCTGGACTGTGTGGCCGAGTACCGGTGAGTAGGAGACAGTTTCTGTGACAGCCTTGCAAGGAACGATCATCTTGAGGCCTGTCAAGAGAGATCTTTTCCTCTCAACCCTGGCTGCAGGTACTGTGGTTTCTGCCTCTTTAAAGTCAGGCCAGGCTGGGCATGCTGGTGGTGCATGCCTAGAGGCTGAGGCAGGAGGGTAGCAAGTTTAAGCCCAAATTAGACAATTGAACAACACAGAGAGACCCTGCCTCAAAATTAAGTCTAACCTACGTAAGAAGCAAAAGTAGGGCAGGAGGCAAGGGCAGGTACAGTGGGTTCGAGCCATATCATCCTGATCAGTGAGTACTCCATATCTGCACACTTCTCAGTGTCCCTGGTGTGGCCTGGCTTCCAGCTGTCCCCCTCCGCAAATCTAGATACCAGCTATAAGATCAGATAGGTCCTAGCATTCTGTTTCCTGTTCTCAGAATTTTTACTTTTGTTTTTCTGTTTTTGTTTTTTGAGACAGGGTCTCACTTTGTAGTTGAGACTGACCTGGAACTCACTATGTAGCCCAAGCTGCTCTCGAACTCACAGCCATCCTCCTGCCTCAGCCTCCCGAGTGCTGGTATTACAGGCGTGCACCACCACACCCCGCTGTTTTTGTTTTTCTATTCTTCTAATTTTTCTTCTTTTTTCCTTTCTTTCTGTGTTCCTGTTTCCCTAAAGACCATGATCATTTGGCCTTGAAAATCTGCTTCTTCCTGGCTTCCAGGCAGTGTCTGATGTGATAGGAACTCAGACTCTCTATGCTTCCTGTTGCTGTGTTACCGTTTTTTACCAGTTCCTCCAGATGCCTGGGGTGACTAAGCCACAGGGACCTCGCTCCAGCACAGCACCAAGCCATGACAGGGTGGGGAGATCCTCTGTGTGTCTTGGGTTGAGCTCCAGGGGAGAGTGTGCAGGGCCTCAGCTCCATCTCCAGCACTATAGAAAAGCAGGGCAGCCGGGGATTTGGCTCAGTCCGCCACCTGCCTCGCAAGTGCATGGTCCTGAGTTCAATCTCTGGTCCAAAAAAAAAACAACAGGACAGCAGACTCATCAGTCTAGAAACTGTGGAGCACCTGAAAGTTTTGTGGCAGCATAGCCTCGATTCTGAGAAGAGCCTGAGTGCCCAGAAATGCAGTGGCTGTTTCTGGCTCCTTGTAGATTCCCCCGAGGAAACCACACAGTCAGTCAGTTCCACCCCACAGCATACAACACATCCTAACTTCAGATGCTTCTCATACAGATTATAAAACACTTCCATAGCCCTGCTGTCTACTTTTTTGCTCTTTCAGTCAGAGCAACATGTGATGAGCACACCTGTATTTCCAACACTGGGAGGCTGAGGCAGGAGGCTCACAAGTTTGAGCCCATCCTGGACAATATAGTGACTTATTGAGACCCTGTCTCAAAGTGAAAAAAAAAGGGCTGTGGGTGTAGCTCTCTGAAGGCCTCATTGTTCAATTCCTGGGACTAGAAAGTTTGTTAAAAGGGTGGGGGTGGGGGCTGGGATTTAGCTCAGTGGTTCTTGCGAGTGCCTCGCAAGCGCAAGGGCCAGAGTTTGATCCCTGGTACCAAGAAAGGGTTGGAGGAGAGAACGTGGAGAGTAGAAGCATTGTTTAAGTGCTAGTTGTAAACTACACAGGGGCAACTCTGGTCTGAGCCAACACCGCAGATACCTCTCTGGTCTCTCAGGGGCAAGCTGTGTGTGATCGACTGGAAGACGTCGGAGAAGCCAAAGCCGCTCCTCCGGAACACGTACGACAACCCGCTGCAGGTGGTGGCCTACATGGGTGCCCTAAACCATGACTCCAACTACAGCTTCCAGGTCAGGCCGTGCTTTCCATCCCAGGGACCCCACACCTGGCCCCAGGCCTCCTCTTGCCTGAGAAGCACCATTTCTTCCTTCCTGGGCTTCTTTCCTCTTCCTCTTGCTCCTAGTCCATTCTTCAGCGTCACGCACTCCCCGTGTGCCTTAAGTATAGTCTCTTTCTTTATGCCTTTTTGAGTCAGGGTCTCGGCATGTAGTTCAGGCTGGTCTTGAGCTCCCACATCCCAGGCTGGCCTCAAACTCATGGTGATGCCCTGGCCTTGGCCTCTGGAGTACTGGGATTGTAGGCCTGGGCCACCACACCCGGCACCATGTGCGGTCTTCAGTCACCACCTTGGAGGTGGCATGGTCCTGAAGTAACAAACCTGAGCTCTGGACTCACGGGAACCCTGGCACCACTTGTTTCTGTGCAGGTGCAGTGCGGCCTGATCGTGGTGGCCTACAAGGACGGGTCCCCCGCGCACGCCCACTTCCTGGACACCGAGCTCTGCTCCTGCTTCTGGGACAAGTGGCTGCTGCGTCTGGAAGAGTACATGGAAAAGGACCAGAGCCGGGATGGTCAGAAGCCAGGAGAGGGCAAGGACACAGCCAGAGCAGGCGCTGCTCTCCCCGCAGGGGAAGAGGGATCACAGTCTCCTGCTTGCTGAGAGCTAAGAGCTGCACTGGCAGAGGCACAAGGATTCCCCCACTGAAATACACCACCGCTGACCGGTGATGCCACCCCGACACATACTGACGCCATAGAGGGCAGGGCAGCAGGTGTGGGCAGCTGTCACCCCCTTGGGCACTTGCACATAACTCGAGGCTTAGTTAAGATGGAAGGAGCTCACAGGCTGAGGCCCACCCAGGGTGTGTGCGCCATCCCATGCCATTTTACGGCATATGTATAGACGGGTTCACTGATCCTGTCAGGGAAATGAGCTCCTTTTCTATTTTTTCTTTTTTTGGTTTTTTTGAGACAAGGTCTCGCTGTATAGTCCAGGCTTTGTAGCCCAGTCTGGCTTGAAATCCACAGTAATCCTCATGCCTCAGCCTCTCAAATGCTTAGATTACAGACATGCACCACCACACCCAGCCTTTTATTTCCATTGTTTGTGATGGTCTGTGCCTTGCACTCATAGTGATCCTCCTCCTCAGCCTCCCAAGTGCTGAATAGGAGCTTATTTTTAACATGAGCTGCATGAAGTAGCCATTATAAAGTCAGCACTCTGGTCGTGGTCGCACATACTTGTCATCTTCGCCACTCAGGAGGCTGAGACAAGAGAATCTCCTGGGCCTGAGATTCTGGGCCATCCTGGGCAGTACAGCAAGATACCATCTCAAAAGAAAAGGCTATGATCCAGCTACTAGGGAGGCTGAGGCAAGAAGACTGCAAATTTGAGTCTAGTCTGGGCAACATGGCAAGACTTCATTTTTAAAAAGTTTCACTACCAGCCAGGCATGGTGGTGCACGCCTGTAATCCCAGCACTCGGGAGGCTGAGGCAGGAGGATTGCTGTGAGTTCGAGACCAGCCTGGGCTACATAGTAAGCTCTAGGTCAGTGTCAACTAGTGAGACCCTGTCTCAAAAAATCAAAAAAAAAAAAAAAGTTTCACTGCTAAGAAATAGAAGAAACCCAAATTAGAGTTTCTAAATGACCACCAGTTTTAAGAATTAACAAGTGGCTGTGTGGATTCTGCCTTGTCCCTCAAGGGGTATGTGGCAGGTTAAAATGCATTGAAATGAAACAGGGTCCACAATAAGGAGAGATTTTTCTAATGAAGAATCATTTGAAGCTAAGCATTTTGGTGCACACCTGTGATCCCAACATTTAGGAGGCTGAGGCAGGATCACCACAAGTTCAAGGCCAGCCTGGACTACATGTGAGACCTGTCTCAAAAAAGAACAGAAAGTACAAGTTAGAGTGCTGAGGAGACTCCCAGGAGATGCTGTGTTCAACAGGAAGCTTGTATGTCACCTTGGCGGGAACAGCTGTCGGGTTTGAGTAACATGTCAGTGAGGATCTGATCACAGATTTGAGGTTTTTGCTTAGGAGCTTAACAGTAGAGAGGAAACAAATAGAACATCACAAGTAAACCTAATCCCACTGGAGTTTCACTGATCCCTTTAGCCTCTCCAATGGGACAAACACCATAAATCTGGTGTGTGTCTTTCCAGTATGTTGTTTTTTTTTTTTTTTTTTTTTTTTTTTTTTTTTTTTTT